TCTCAGGCATGTTCGATGCCGAGCTCATCCAGCACGTCCTGCTCATCATGCCCACCACCCTGGTCAGCAGCTGGCTGGCCGAGTTCGCTCGCTGGACCCCCGGCCTACGCATCAAGGAATTCCACGGCAGCAGCAAGACAGAGCGCACCAGGAACCTGGAGAGGGTCCAGAGGAAGAACGGCATCGTCATCACGAGCTACCAGATGCTCATTAACAACTGGAAGCAGCTAGCCAGCCGCCACGAGCAGGAGTTTGTCTGGGACTACATCATCCTCGATGAAGCACACAAGATCAAGTGCCCGTCAAACAAGACAACCAAGTGTGTGTACGCAATCCCGGCCCGGCACCGCGTCCTGCTTACGGGCACACCCGTGCAGAACAACCTGCGGGAAATGTGGTCCTTGTTTGACTTTGCCTGCCAAGGCTCCCTCCTGGGAACTGCCAAAACTTTTAAAATGGAATATGAGAATCCCATTACCAGGGCGAGGGAGAAGGATGCGACTCCAGGTGAGAAAGCGCTGGGGCTAAAGATATCAGAGAATCTCATGGCAATTATAAAGCCCTATTTCCTCAGAAGGACCAAGGAAGACATCAAAAACTCTCATGCTGATAAAGTGGATGCTCCTTTTCCTGAGGATCAAGGTGAGAACAAGGTTCCCGTCATGCCATCTCTCACTAGGAAAAATGACTTTGTTGTGTGGGTGTACCTGGCACCAGTGCAGGAAGAAATCTACAGGAATTTTCTCTGCCTGGATCATGTGAAGGAAGTGCTGATGACGACCCGATCGCCTCTGGCCGAGCTGACCGTCCTGAAGAAGCTCTGTGACCACCCCAGGCTTCTGTCTGCGAGAGCCTGTATCCAGCTGGGCTTGGAAGAGCAGGAGGGCTCCGAGCAGGATTACAGGATGGAGGCAGGTGTGCTTTCAGGCATGAAAAAAATCGATCATCTCTCTGATGAGACTGTGATCCAGGAGTCTGGGAAGATGCAGTTCCTTGTGGGGCTGCTGGAACGGCTGAGAGAAGAGGGACACCGAACCCTGGTGTTCTCACAGTCGAGGAAGATGCTGGATATCATAGAGCTCGTCCTGTCTCGCCGACAGTTCCAGATCCTGCGCATCGACGGCACGGTGACGCACCTGACGGAGCGGGAGAGGCGCATCAACGCCTTCCAGAGCAACAGCGACTACTCTGTCTTCCTGCTCACCACGCAGGTTGGGGGCGTCGGCATAACCCTGACAGCCGCCAGCCGAGTGGTGATCTTTGATCCCAGCTGGAACCCAGCCACCGACGCTCAGGCTGTGGACAGAGCTTACAGAATTGGGCAGAAGGAGAACGTGGTGATTTACAGGCTGATCACCTGCGGCACGGTGGAAGAGAAGATTTACAGGCGGCAGATATTCAAGGACTCGTTAATCAGACAGAGCACCGGTGACAAAAAGAACCCGTTCCGTTATTTCTCCAAACAGGAGCTGAGGGAGCTCTTCACGTTGGAGGACACTCGCACGTCTGCGACCCAGATCCAGCTGCAGTCCCTGCACGCCATGCAAAGGAAGTCTGACCTGCAGCTGGATGAGCACCTTGCTTACCTGCATTCCCTGGCAATGTTTGGCATTTCCGACCACGACCTGATCTACACGAGGGAAATAGCTCACGAGGAGCAGGTGGAGAGCGAGGAAGCCCACCAGTATATCCAGAAGAGGGTCCAGAAAGCCCACGAGCTGGTCCAGCTGGAGTCCCAGCTCAGAGATCAGAGGATGGAGGGGATCAGAAATGCTTGTGAAGAGAAGTGGCAAAGACCATCGGAATCAGTTTCCAGGCCAAAGAATTCTTCTGTTGAAGGGTTGAACGATGAAAATCACTTTATTTCACCACCAGTAGCTGATGCATATGAAAAAGGCAAAGTTATTGATCTTACAGATGAGGATGAGGCCCAGGTGCTCAATGTCAGCTGCAAAATGACAACTCTGACTCTTGGTGACTCAGATGAAGAGAAACTGGTACAAGATGTGTCCAGCATGGAGACAGAAGTGCTCAATAGCAGCAAGACAGAAGAACAATCTATTATACGAGAATCTGAGCAAAATCCTGAATGTAGCAATACAGCATCCCCTGCACTCGAGAAAGAGAGCCAGAGCCTCCAAGGGAAACGGCATTCACAGGTACATCCAGACACCTCAGCTGAGGTGAGGAATGACCTCTCTGGGCATTGTCACAGTCCCTCTGAGTCTGGCATGGCTGGTGATCCTAGCAGGGATGCAGATTTGTCACTTCAGGTACTTGACTCACACGCTGCCCTGGGGACAGAACAGAACAATGTTCCTGAGCCGGCTTCTGCCTCTGCAGTGCTGAGTTTATCAAACGTTACACCAGAGGTCAATGCTGAGGTCTACAAGTCTCACGTGTTGGAAGACAGTTTGGAGGGTACATCTGCTCCTTCTTTCCAGGATCAAGTTGACTTCAATCTGGTTTTGGAAGAGTCTGAAGAGGGATGGAAGGATGCCTCAAGTAGAGAAGGATCAGTGGAACATCCTGAGAGGGAGAGCTTACAACTGCAGGCAGAAAGCTTGTGTAAATCTCCAGACAAAGAATCTCCAAACAAAACTTGGCCAAATGAGACCAGTAGCCATGGCAAACCCTGTCCCACAGCTGAGGAAGACCCAAATGCCTCCCTGCAAGGGAGTAAAGCACTGGATGAAAGCAGTGTTCTCTCTACTTTTGGTAGGAAGAAACGCTTAAACAGAGTGACTTCAGACAGTGAGAGTGAAGAGCAGCCCGAGCAAGTGACCTCCTCTCCCTTGGGCAGCTCTCAGCATGGAATTCCAGAGGGAGTTAGCGCTTCCACCCCTAAATATGACAAAATAAGAGCTAAAGCCATCTTTTCTCCCCAGCTAAGTAACAGTGGAAACAGGTCTAATGCTTCCAGGCGCTCGGTCATCAGCAGGTTGGCAGATGAGGTGGAGGATATTGGGGAAATCATGGGAACCACTGATGAAGAAGACAATGATGATGGTGATGAGGAGCAAGACGGGCTTGTGGAAGATGAAGCTGAGGAATGCACTGGGGAATCTGCTGAGACTGAAGAAGAACCTACTGGAGAAACACTCGATACAGGTGAAGAGTCCTCCCACACAGACAGCGGGGAATCTGAGCAGTCTGAGGCAGAGGAGACGGAGTCATCTCAGGAGGAATCCACGGGTGACGCTGAGCTCCAGTCAGGAGAGCAGATTGACTACTTCACCCAGGAAAGCAGCACTCAAAGGGGCATTGAGCAGAGCTCCTCTCCTGCTGCAGATTATGACACCTTGGTACACAGTGGGAAGAAACTTCAGAATGATGGAAAACTCCAGGAGGCGTTGGACTGCTTTGTGCAAGCTCTTGACATAAAAAGTGGAGATCCTGAAATTATGCTTCTGACTCTGAATTTGTACAGACAGCTGGCCCAGAAGTGACACGTGTGGCTCTGTGAACAGTCTGGCTGTTCCTCGTTACTGTGTGTCTGCACCCACGGCCCTGGGATCCCTGAGCCAGCTCCAGGCTGCTGCCTGCCATGTACTCGTGTGACTGAGCAAATTCAGCAGTTCTGCTTGAGAAAACAGTCCAAACATCCAGGTGCTGGGGGGGGAACTTCACTGTGGAGTCAGCTCACAAAGGTGCAAATGGTTCATGTTCCTGTCTGATTGTTTAATTAAAAAAGTGGTGGTGTTGATGTCTAAACCCCTCTCCATGCTGGCAGCCCTGGTTTTACCTTTCTACCCTCCAGGTTGTGCCACTCCTCTCCCCCGAGAAGATGGGACAGTGCAGTCCCATGGCCTTGGGCTGCTGTGGTTCCTCCCTCCTTCAGGGTTTTAAATAATCAGTTTGGGTACTTTAAAGCCCTTCCAGTTGCAACCCCTCCCACAAGCAGGGACTCCTGCCACTAGACCCAGTTGCTCCAAGTCTGGCCTTGAAATGCTTCCACAGATGGAGCTTCTCTGGGCAACCTGTGCCAGTGTTTTATCACCCTCACAGGGAAGAATTTCTTCCCAGTATCCCTTCTAACGCTGCCCTCTGTCAGCCTGAACCTATTATTCTGTATCCTGTCATTCCAGTTCTGGATGAAGAGTCCCTTTCTGGCTCCCCTGTAGGCTGTTTCAAATACTGAAATTTGTGATGAGGTGTCCACACAACCTTCCCCAGGCTGAACAGCCTGAAAAGCCCCAACTCAGCCTTTCTTCATAGCAGAGATGCTCCAGTCCTCTTATAACCTTCATGGTCTCTTCTGGCCTTGCTCCAACAGTTCCATGTCCTTATGCTGGGGGCCGCAGAACTGTGTGCAGGGCTCTAGGCAGGATCTTGGGAGTGCAGAGTACAGAGGGGGAGAATCCCTTCCCTTGCCTGCTGCCCACGTTCCTTTGGATGCAGCCCAGGACATGGGGGGTTTCTGGGCTGGGAACGCTCACTGCTGGCTCGTGGTGAGTTTTTTGTTAACCATCACCCCCAAACCCTTCTCCCAGGGCTGCTCTCAATCCCTCATCTGCCCAATCTGCAGCTGTGCCTCGGAGTGCCCTGACCCATGTGTAGAACCTTGTACTTTTCATGTGGTCCCACCTCTCCAGCCTGTCCAGACCCCCCTGGATCTGTCCTTCCTTACAGTGTGTGACCACAGCACACAGCTCAGTGTTGTCAGCAAACTGGATGAGTGCATTTCAATCCCAAAAACCAGCAGCTCAAAACCTCCTGGTTCTGGCTTTGAGTGACTGTGCCCTCACCAACACAGCCTCAGTGTGGCGTGCTGGGCACTGGGACTGACTGCTGTCAGTCTCAGCTGGTGACAGCACAGCAGCAGAGATCATGAATGTTTCCCTGTGCCATGGCATGCTGCCTTCTGCAGCACCACAGCACAGCACAGGACACCACACCTGGCTGAGCAGCTCTCTGTACTCAGAACCACAGCAAACACGGATCTGATTCTGCTGTTGTGTCAATGTGCTTTTGCCAAAAGAGAGAACAGGGCTCTGGTAGCCTGTAAACAAGAGGTTTATTTACAGAGCACCATGACATGGGGCAGTGTCTGCCCTCCATAGCAAGCCATTCACTGGCTGCCCTCAGCGTTCCACACTCAGCAAAACCAACACCCTGAAAAGGGAGGGAAGGGAAGGACCTTTTGTTCTTTGATGTTTCCTCCTCATCTCTGAACTCTGTGCATGGTGCTCACCTGTAAACGTTGCTGGAGCTGTGGCTGCTTCAGGGGCTCTGTGGGCAGGAAAGGGATTTGAGCTGGATTCCTGAGATGGCAGGAACCCTGCTGGCCTGCTTCCCTTGCACACCCCACAGCACAGCAGAGTGCAGTAAGCAGGACACAAGCCTTTAGTGGCTTTTTTCTTATTCAAACCTGAGTTACCCGTTTCTTCCCCCAGCTCTGAGTGGGCAAGGTGGAGCTGTAGGAAGAGGTGAGTCTGTGTTCAGGAGAGCTCTTCCTCCCCTCCTGCCCCCAGCTCCCTTCCCTGCCTGGCCTGACGCAGCTCCAGTGTTACCCACCCTGCACTGGCGGGACTGTCCTGCAGCCCTGGAGCACAACCTGCACCATGGGAGCTGTCTGCACCTCCTGGGGAGGATGGAGATGGAGACCAAGCCCTGGGGCCTCCTCTGCCCCTTTCTGTCATTTCTGTTTGTAGATAAAAGACTGGGCACCTCATTCTGCTGACAGACCATTATCTCCACAGCAGGAGAAGCAAGAGGCTGCCAGACAACAGAGGCTTCAACATCTGTAAAAGGCTCTCATTTTACCCTTCCCAGGCACACTTTACCTCTCCAGGCAGGGCTCTGCTCTGCCAGCACAGTGGCAGGGACAGCAGCTGTCTCCAGATGTGTTGCTGGCTGTGCCTGACTTGTTCCAAGGCCAAGGTGTCTGAGACTCGGGATTCAAGCAGTCAACAAGGTCAAGATGGTCATTCACATTTTATTTTCTGCCTTCCACCATGATGATGTGGTATCCGAACTTGGTTTTGACGGGAGGGTCCGTGTACACGGGTTTGTCCATGCTGCTCACAGGCAGGGCAAACGCTGCCTCCTGGAATGGTCCCACCATGGAGCCTCTGGTCATCCAGCCCAGGTCTCCCTGCAGGGAGGCACCGCCGGGGTTAAGCGCTGATTCTCAGAGCAGGGAGGGTGGGATGAACAGGACCGCGGCTCCCGCAGCCCCGTCCCGGGTGCAGCACCCACTCACCCCCTGCCTGGCCTTGTCCTCGCTGTACTGCGCCGCCACCTCGCTAAAGCGCTGCCCGGCCTTCAGCTTCTCCATGGCCTCCATGGCCCGGCCGTGCTTCTCGCACAGGATGTGCCGAACCTGCCGGGGAGCCCAGCGGGGCTGTGGCGAGCGGGGCCGGCGGGCGGGACGAGCCCCCGGTGCTGGGC